ATGTGGTGTACAAAATTGCTACGAAAGTATGTGCGAACCGTATGAAGTCATTGCTAGATTCTCTTGTCTCGGGGTCGCAGAGTGCGTTTGTGCCGGGGCGCCTGATAACGGATAATGTGATGCTAGCATATGAGGTGCATCATTATTTGAAACGGAAAACACAGGGGAAGGAAGGGGTTGCTGCATTGAAGGTGGATATGAGTAAGGCGTATGACCGGGTCCAGTGGGATTTCTTAGAGGCAGTTCTGGTCAAAATGGGTTTTGCCAGGAGATGGGTTGATGTGTTACTGGAGTCTGTTAGTGCGGTCCGATATCACATTTTGCATGAACAGCGTGAGTTAGGGCCGTTAATTCCGGGCCGTGGTTTGAGACAAGGGGACCCGCTATCGCCGTATTTATTTCTGCTTGTTGTTGAGGGTCTGAGTGTGATAATTTATAAATACATGTCCCAAGGCAGGTTGCACGGAGCACGGGTTGCAAGAGGGGCGCCCGCGATATCACATCTGTTGTTCGCGGACGACTGTTTTTTATTTTTGCGTGCAAATGCCCAGGAGAACCATCAAATGAGGTACATTTTAGATACATATTCGAAAGCTTCTGGACAGAAAATAAATCATGACAAATCTGTGATTTGTTTCAGTGCCAATGTATCACAGCCAGTTAGGGATGAGGTGGTTCAGATCCTAGGGGTGGCGGAGGGTAATACGTCTGGCAAATATTTGGGCCTCCCTTCGTTGGTGGGTAGAAGAAAGAAGGAGATTTTGGGTTATTTGAAAGAGCGGATATTGACAAGGGTCCGCAGCTGGAATTCGAAGTTCCTGTCCCGGGCAGGTCGGGAGGTGCTTTTGAAGAATGTTATACAAGCAATGCCATCATATGCTATGATGGTATTTCTGTTACCGGCTGGCTTGTGTAAGGACATTGAGACTTTAATGTCAGAGTATTGGTGGACGGGCTCTGTGGGTTCCGGGAAAGGTATTCGGTGGCGTGCTTGGGGTGGTTTGGCGATGCCCAGGATGGTGGGGGGTTTGGGATTCAGGAAACTACACGAGATGAACCTTGCGTTGTTGGGCAAACAAGCTTGGCGTCTGGTTACTCGGCCGCATTCTCTTGTAGCGCGTGTTTACAAGGCGCGCTATTACCCCAGGTGTGCTTATTTTGATGCAAGTGAAGGCTCTAACCCATCATACATTTGGAGGGGGCTGTTGGCAGTGAAGGATGTGGTGCGTGAGGGCTGTCGCCGTAGTGTTGGGAATGGCCAAGACACTTTGATTGGGCAGCATGCTTGGCTGCCGAATGAAGAAAACCCATATGTAACAACTGCACTTACGGAAGAGGTGTCAATGGCCACGGTAGCAACTTTGTTCAACCATCAAGGTACAGGATGGGATATAAATAAAATTGCTAACATCTTTAATACCGGTGATGTGTCTTTGATTATGAATATACCTGTAAGTTTGCGTAGCCCACGTGATTCTTGGTATTGGTATTGGGACCAAAAAGGGGCCTATACAGTTAAGTCTTGTTATAAACGGCTAACTCGTGTAGTACTGGACCATCGTCCCTGGACACGTATTTGGAACTTTGATGTGCCTCCAAAGGTTCCGCTTTTCTGTTTGCAGCTTGCCAGTTCATATTTGCCAACACGAGATGCTCTAAATATGAAGCGTATTCATTGTGATCTTCTTTGCCATATGTGTAATAGGGAAAGTGAGAGTGCATGCCATATTTTTGTTACATGCACTGAGGTGGGGAGGGTGTGGACTTTGCTGGGGATTCCGGTCATTGGCTTGGCGCATGAGTATAATGCTTCGGACTGGTTTTTCGCAAATATTGAGCAGCTATGTGGTGATTTGTTGGCGAAATTCGTGATGGCGTGTTGGGGCATTTGGACTAGTAGAAATGATAATGTATGGAGTGGTATTGCATTTGACATAAACGTGATGTTGCGGAGGACTTTGGGTTTTTGGGAGAACTGGAGGCAGGCTCAAGAGGCTACCCATACGTATGGCCCTATTACTGCCAATGTTTCTCGTTGGATGCCACCACCAGTTGGTAAGTTGAAGCTGAACTCCGATGCCGCGTTAAATCATTTGGCAAACGCAATGGGGTTTGGGTGGGTTTTGCGTGGTGAGGATGGTGCTTTCCTGGCAGCTAAAAACGTGCGGGTTCCTGGATCATACACTGTTGAGGAGGCCGAGGCAATGAGTCTGAGAGAAGCTTTAAGTTGGCTAAAGGATACAGGCATGGGTGATGTTGTGGTAGAGATAGATTCACAGCTAGTTTTTCATGCAATTTTTGCTAGCCCTTTTAGTTCGGCTTATGGTTTTTTAGTAGATGATATTAGAGAATTGGCATCTACGATTGGAGATGTCCAATTCGGTTGTGTTAGGCGATCTGCGAATTGTGCCGCCCACACTGTTGCTAGGAAGGCCTTTTCTGTGGCAGGTTGCGGGGAATGGTTTGATGTACCACCCGATTTTTTGATTAGCTGCCTGGCTAATGATTTAATGCAATAAGCTGTTTTTCTCAAAAAAAAAAAAATTGATAAATGACAATAGCCAATGGAGTATTACTGGAATTAACTTCTATATTTTATATTTTATTACCTAGTAGATTTTTGATTAAATATCCTGCTTTGGAATCTCTCCCAACGGATTGCCAAAATACCAAAATACCAAAAATCTGTGTGTAATAAGAATTCAAGATTTGCCACATAAATTAATTCAACAACACTATTAGAAATTTATATGACTTAAAACTTTAGTGTAACCATTTTGAGTTAGGAATACCTGAATTGATGAAAGAATTTTACTTTTAATTCATTGAGTAACGTACGTGTATTAAATATGATTTTTGACAATTAATATTTTCAAACTAAGTGCATAACTATACAATTTGTATCATATTAGGTTCTTAACAATTAATATCTACTATCTACTATACTAATAAGAGCCCAAGAGAGTTAGGCCTATAATGGGTAAAAAAAATGGTGGTCAAGTTTTTTAATCAAATGAATGGTTCAGATTGATCAGATTTTAATTTTTCCTTGAGATTTCCTAATTTATCCTTAATGAATATGATTATCTGTTAAATTTTTCGTTAAATATTCTCTTTTCCGTTAGTTTCTGTTAGTTCACCGTTAACTTACTCATTGATTTTAATAAGAAAGGTCTCAGGTTCAAACCACATCCCAATCAAATTAAAGTTGCCATAGTTAGTACTCTATTTTACTCTTATTAAATTAAAATTAATAATTTAGTACCTACAACAAAAAATAATACATATGCATTTCTTTAATTTACAATTATGTGTGTACTATGTCTTTATTCAAAAAAATTTATTCATTATCAATAAATTAAATAAGAGAAATAATTTCATTAGTTATATTGTCTTTATTTTTTTTCAATGTAAAAATTCTTTACATTCAAATTAATCAATTAATTATATTCACTACATTGTCTATTATTTTTTTTGTGCACTATTTTTTAATTAAATATCAAAGTTATAATACAAAATAATGCTATATATTTATTTACCAAGTATTTTATTAATACCATGAAAAAATTAAAAATTAAAAAAAAAAACATAATTAATAAAGCCAGTCATATTAACTACTTGAGAGATTTGTTGACAAAGAGAGTATTCAAATCACACAACAAATTGAAGTGAAACTACATCGCAATTTTCTTGTTTGATAATCAACAGTTAGCGGTTAACGTTAGCGAATTATATCAACGGTTGGTAAAAAGATATTTGAAAAAATTAGCCGTTTAGATTAACATGTAAAATGACCTAAGGGTATACATATATTTCATAATAGTAATAATAATAATAATAATAATAATAATAATAATAATAATTTTTATAAATTTTTTTTTAAAAAAAGTATAATTAAACCAATCATATTAACTACTTGGGGGATTTATTGACAAAAAAGTATTCAAATCACACAACAAATTGAAGTGGGAAACTATCTTGCAATGTCCTTGTTTAGCCATCAGCAGTTAGCCCTTCAATATTAGTATATATTTAATATTTTATGCCCTAATTTTTATTTGCTCTCCCTTATTTCCCGTATTTGGTTTCAACCATACGCATACATTTATTTTATTGACAATTATAATTAATCTTAACTATATTATCTTGCATTTGTAAACTTAGAATTACCTATTTAAATGCACAAATTCAACATTTAATTATCTATGCATGAACAACTCTAATATAATCTTGCATTGATATATTTTATAGTACTTATTTATATATATAAAAAATATTGGGCATTATCTCAATCGCGCAATGCGCGTAAAAAAACTAGTTTTTAAAATAAATGCATGGCTATGTAATTTGTATCACATTTGGTCATGCGTGCCGTCCAATTTTTTGACCAAGCTTTCGGTCGGTTAACTATTGTTGAAATTTCAACGAAAGAAATAAGAATTTCCAACTTTCTATCTTTACTCTCATCAAATCAAATTAATCAATAATCAAAATTATTAAAAATCACTAACTATTAATTAACTGTAATATCCAAGCACATTGTGCTAAGATGACATGTGGTGACCTCTCCTATATGGGAGGTAATGAGATCGGGCTTCAATGAGGGTTGCTTCAATAGGTAGCGTTGTTGATTCTTTGTGCTTTAATAGTTTGAGAAAGTACGTTTGAACAGATACTACAATGTAATAGAGTCGATAACATTCGAAAAAAATTAAGTGTAATATTTCAATTAAAAAAAAAACAATTAATCAAATTTTGTGATTTAGATGGCTCTCTAATTTTCACCAAAAATTGCACTGGGACTCCGTTTTTGTTTGGTGAAGTTTGTAAAATAGAATACTGTAAGGGGCACTTGTGCAAATATACTACTCCGACTCCATTTTAGTAGAATCTGAGTACAGGACCCGAGTTCTGACTCCGAGAGTCCTTACCGCTTGGAATCAGTTTCCCCTCTCTTGTCTGTGCTGAGCGCATCGCATTCTCGTCTGTGTACTTTCACGATGTCGTCCAAGAGAGGCGGAGTTTCGTTGCCGGAGCGGCCAGGCAGCGGAGGCAGCAAAGGAATTTTGTCTAGGGTTTCGTCATCCTTGAATCAATCGCCGATAGTGTACCGCGGCAAGCGAGCCGCTTCGGAGGCCGCTGACGTGGGCAAAAAGCTCCTCAAGAGCACCGGAAAGGCCGCCTGGATTGCCGGCACCACCTTCCTTATCCTCGTCGTACCTCTCATCATCGAGATGGACCGCGAGGCCCAACTTAACGAGCTCGAGATGCAACAGGCTAGCTTGCTCGGTACCCCTCCTCCCGGAATCGCTGCACCCAAGTGATGAGTCGCGATTTCCGTTTTCCAACTTTGTTTATGATCTCGTGGTGGTCAATTTGTAGCATTAGGGTTCTATTTTATGTGGAATTGCGGAATAATTAGACTTGATAGAATTTTTGAAGTTATGCTTACTTCTTCTCAGCTAATTTATAATGTTAACAATCAGTCGGATTTCTATATCAGTTATTGCAAAAGTTTGCATTTCTCCCCCTTTTTTGTTAGAAAAGAAGTAATCTTGGTTGGATTCTATTTGGATACCTTAATGTTAGGATTATGAATGTTAGGTGAAGCTCTATGTAGTCTTCTTAACGAATTAATATGATTGAAACAAACACTGAAACAGTAGTGCAACCATTGAACTAGTTTGAAGATAGTGTTCTTACAGGTGTGCAAGTAGTTACTTGTATGGGAAATTGGGAAGAACCATGGCTAGCAAGAGGCAAAATCTTCTCCCAAAAGGTTAAATCTCCAACCCCAAGGGCCACACCCCGGCCGGCCAGACAGACAGAATATTTGGAAGGATGTAAACCACGGTGACTCAATGGTTCAACGGACAGGGCTAAATGCCGGTGTGTACATGGATCTGCCCACTTTGGGCATAATTTTCAACACTGCCGCTATTAAGGTTCGAATCTTGGTCTCTTCTCTCAAATACTACTTACTAAACCATTGAATTAAGCCTGTGTGGGCAGCAAGAGGCAAAATCTGTATGGCATGCTGTAATTTTGATTGAGTTTCAGTAGTGAGTGGCCTTTCATTTACCACTCCATACCAACACTTGGTATATTTTGTGATTTTATAGAATTGCTTCCTCACTGTAGTTGTATCAGGGAACCATTCTTTTGAGTTTGGACTTTGAATTATAGTTCTGTTAACTGCATAGTTGGCTCTCATGTTTATCCATTCATTTGTGTAATTTTTTAGGGTGACCCTACAAGATCACATCATAATCTTATCATTATAATGATTTTGTGGATCCAAAAGTTCCTATTTTCTTGAATCATTGCATCCATCCATCATCTCTGTTTACTACATGACTCTAGAATTGTGTTATCCCGGGTTGCTAAAGTGCTTATGGAATGGTTTTGTTTTTTTCCAACTATCCATACATTTCTCCTCTTCATATTATGGAATTAGGTAATGTTGTCTTTTGTAGCTATGTTGATTGTTACTTGGAAAGTGATATATGTACTCCCATGGAGTGTAACTCCCGTTACGAGTACAAATTTTATTGGGTAAATAAAAGTGAATGAATAAAAACATTGACCCATTTTGTTATTTAAATCAATCCAATGATGACACCTCACCAAGGAGTAAAAAATGAAGTAGAAAGTGGGAGTAAACCTGCAACACTTTAGTGATGAATAGGGAGCTAGGAGCTAGACTCCTTCACTTGTTCTGTGGCCATTTCCCTTTCCTCATTTTTTTTGTCCATCTTGTTTTTCTTTTCTTTTGCATTTAGCAAAGTGGAACTGTGGAAACCTATTCAGTATGTGTATGTCAAATACGCTGTATCTGAGTATCTGTTTATTTTGAGTGGTTTATGAAAGGATTACCATACATAATTTGTTTATTTTGAGTGGGGTTTATGAAAGAATTAAGCAAGTAAGGTTGAGGATTTATTAGAACAAAGAATAGCTGAGAAGATGGTAGGCTGAAATGCTCTTATGTTTAACGTCATTTAAACAGATTTGTTGACAGGGGATGAAAAATGCTCATGTAACAATAATGCTAGGACAAAAAATAGGCTTATAAGTTGTGTCACAATAATGCTATGACCAACAAATGAATTAATTCTTAGAACAAAGAGGAGCTGAATATATTGAAACGTCCTTATGTTTAACGACATTTAAACAGATTTGTTGATGAAGGATAAAAAATGGTCATGTTACAACAATGCTAGGACCAACTAGAATTTTTTTTTTTAAAATTAAAAATGACTAAAAGTGAAATGACATCTATAAATTTAGCACCAAAAAAGAAATTAACTCTTTGAAATATTTTGTGCACTGTTGGCTCTGTATTTGTGCATTTTCATAGTAGGTGACAAGTGAGAACTGATTGTAACCCCAAGTTTATCAATGGTTGAAGGTTTTTTTTAGAAAAAAAATGTGGTTAATTTTATAATTATTGTAAATTTTTAAGTTTTCAATATTTATCAAATAGACGCTAGTCGCTAAAGTATGTATTTGCACAATTGGTGATGAGCATTTTGACCTACTAGTGTGACTTACAATGGGTAGGTGTAGAATGAGAGGAAAATTTAGACTCTATCTTTATTTAGACGGGAGAGGGTGTTTTTGGTTGGATTGATTTACTCTTTAAGCGTGATTTTAGGAGATTTGACATTCGAATTAGGCGGATTTCTTTGATGCCTTTGTGTTTAATCGTAACTGTCCACAATTTTTGGAAAATTAAAAACATGTGTATGGATATGGAGCATTATACTTAATATGTACACATCATAATGCTCCATATGTTCACATGCATTTTTAATTTCTTAACTAATCTTATCTACAGATATGTTTTTAATTCACCAAATTGGTTCTCATAGACTCATGGGGAGGTTTGCATAATCAATGCCCAGAATGAACATAATCAACTGCCTAGAATGAACATAAATTTTAAAAAACAATGCGGTGACATTATGGTAATTTTTGCGTATTTTCAAAGTTGATGGTGCATCATTTTAAATACTTAAGTGCGTCATTCTAACACTTAAGGGGTGTTAGTTTTACATTTAGGGTGTGTTTGGAAACCTGAAAAATGATTTCTGGAAATTATTTTTCAGGATTCTAGTGTTTAGATGTACCTGGAAAATCAAGTTAACGAAAATTATTTTTCGTTGACTTTGAAAAATATGTTTGTTTTGGAGGAAAATGACTTCTCCTATTTTTTTTTGGAAAAGTCATTTTCCAACTTTTACACGAACACCATCACCACTATACCACCATGACGAACACCATCACCATTCACCACCATACTACCACCACCTCACTACACTATCGCCACCACCACCAATACAAAACCACACTGCTACCAGTGCTGCCACCACCCGTTGTTGTTATTATTATTATTATTATTATTATTATTATTATTATTATATAACAAATAACACTATTATACCACCACCACCATTACCATTACCAATATCACAACCACCACTATACCACTTATCATTATTATTATTATTAGTATTATTATTATTGTTGTTGTTGTTGTTGTTGTTGTTTTGAATTACAAGACTTTGGTTACTTATTTTGATATCTTATTAGTTATTTTTTTTATTATATTTAAAATTGTTATTATATGTTTTTTGGTGTAAAGATTGTTATTATATTATTATACATGTTATATTCTAAATAAAATAATTAAACCAAACACACATGAAGACAATTTTTCAAAATGCAACCAAACACAGGAAAGAAAAATGACTTCTGAAAAATAAGTTATTTTTCAGAAGTCATTTTCCTACTTTCCAAACGCACCCTTAAGGTGCGTTAGTTCTACACTTAAGGTGCATAAGTTATGCACTTAAGGTGCGTCATTTTAACACTTAAAAATGTGTCATTTTAACACTTAAGGTGCGTCCTTTTTAACATTGAAGGTGCGCCATTTTAACGCTTTAAGGTGCGACATTTTTAACGCTGAAGGTGCGCCAGTTCAACAATGGTATGAGCATAATGCATCCAATTCTCAGAAAGCACGTTTATATATATATATATATATATATATATATATATATATATATATATATATATATATATATATATATATCTTCATTGAATTGAGCCGTTGATCTAGATTTGATCAACGGCTCAAATGTTACTTCATGTTTCACTTAGGGAGACTCTTTGCACGTAAACCATCCCTTATATATGTATTGAATCATTTAAGAATAAGTTTTTAAGAGAAAACTAAAAATCAATATCAATCTTACATCTAAAAAAAATCGATAGACTAGATCAATGGTATTATTATTTAAATTATAAAAAATAAATAAAACCCCAAAAACTCTCATTCTCATGATATTGTACTTTTTTCCTAATTTTCAATACTTGTAAATCTTGCAAGGATGGCAAGTCACACCATTATTAAGAAAAAAAACTTTTAAATTAATAAATGGTGACATAACTAATGCCATGTCACTTTGAAAGAGAATAAATCTATATCTATATATATATATATAAAAGTCCTCCTAACAAATTTTCTCCCCAAAACTTTTGTAGTAAAGTTTATTTGGTAAGTAAATGTCAAATGGAAATTAAATAAAATCTATTAATTGTTATATTACATAATTGGTAATATTATGTATGGTATTATATTCTATAATATAATTGAAAATATTATTGTTCAAATATAATAAAAATCTTATGAAATAATGTAAGCATAATAAAATAATAATAATAATAATAATAATAATATAAAAACCATATAAATTTTTCCCCAAAACTTAGCGGCATTTATATAATATCTTAATTTTCTAATTTAATTAATTATCAAAATATTGAAATTATATATTATATATTATTCATTTATGTGTAGACATACTTATTACTGTATATAAAGTAAATTAGGTAAATATATTCTTCAAATATAAATTAAGTATCTATATATAATTTTTTAGTAAGCAAATGTAAAATTGTAACTCTAATTTTAATTGGTAATTGGTAATTGGTAATTGGTAATATAATAAAAACCATAAATGTTACCCTTAATCATATCTAAACACTTATATATACATCACATTCTCTTCAATACAAACAGTACCAAGTTACGAAGAACCTAAGGGAATATTCTCTGCAACTGCATAGCAATGGTGTAGAGAACAGGGACCTTCAAGAAGAGGAGGAACAAGACCCATATTCTCTGCGTATCCAGAAGAGCTGTTGCACTACACCTACACATTTGGTAAATCTCTGTATCCTTTTTCAACTCTTTTTTTTTTTTTTAATAAAGAATAGAAAATCATATATACCATTGGTGAAATTTAAAATCTATCTA